AGGCGACGAGGGGGGGAAATATCCTTGACTTAGTCTTGACCAATAGGGAGGAGCTGCTACATGAAGTACAGATTAGGGGAGTTCTGGATGCAAATGATCACTCCATCCTTTGCTTTGAGGTCAGGGGACTGGGGACATGCAGGAGGTCGAGCACTAGAAGTTGGGACTTCGAGAGGACCAACTTTGGCCAACTGAAGGCCAGACTGGGGAAAGTCTCCTGGGATAGGTTACTGGAAGGTAAGCGAGTTGAGGAGGGGTGGATGGCACTCAAAAGGGAGGTTTTGGAGGCGCAAGCCTTGATGATGCCTCTAGTTAGTAAGGTGGGGAGGTGGAGGAGAGTGCCGCCATGGATGCGAAAAGAGGTGGTTAGAGGGATTAGATGAAAGAGGAACCTCCGTAGCAAATGGGTACACCGGGAGGAGGAGGCCCGTTGCAGAAGGATTCTTCGCAAGGCTAAGGCTGATTACGAGCTGAAACTTGCCAAGAATATCAAGAGCAACAAAAAGGGCTTCTTTCAGCATGTAAATAGGAAGAGGAAGGGGAGACAAGTGGTGGGACCACTAAATAAGGAGGAAGGAGATCCAGTGACTGATATGAGGGAAAAGGCACAGATGCTAAATTTTATTATTTATTTAGTTAAAACATTTCTATGCCGCCCCCATCTCAACAAAGCCTCAACAAAGTGGGGCGGCTCACATCAAGAACCTATTTTGCCTCTGTATTCTCCTCAAAGCAGGACGGGGGATATCCGCATAGGAGATTAGATGAGGCTGGGGACTTAGGGGCACAGATTAGAGTCACCCCCCTTGACGTCGAGGGGCTCCTCAGGGCATTGGACATTACAAAGGCTCCAGGCCCTGATGGGTTACACCCGTGAGTACTTAGAGAGTTGGCAGGGGTTCTCTCACGCTCGCTAGCCTTCATTTTTGAGGCTTCGTGAAGAACGGGAGAAGTTCCAGAGGACTGGAGGGTAGCATCAGTGCTCCCAATTTTCAAAAAGGGTAGTAGAAGGGACATGGGGAATTATAGACCTGTTAGTCTTACATGCATTGTAGGAAAATCAATGGAAAGGCTCATAATAATCTAGTGATGCCAGATAGGGAAGGGAGGCTGGTGGCCACACAATACGGCTTCCGCAAAAGCAGGTCCTGCCCGTCAAACCTTGTGGAATTCTATGACAAGGTTTCGAGGTGGCTAGATGGAGGGGATGCAGTGGATGTAGTATACCTGGATTTCGGCAAGGCCTTTGACAAAGTGCCCCATGATATCCTGGTGGAGAAACTGAGGAGTTTTGGGATACACCAAAGCACTGTCCAGTGGATTAGGGCATGGTTGACTGACCGAAAGCAGAAGGTAACCATTAGCGGAAAATCATTGGGATGGAGGCCAGTAACAAGTGGGGTCCCCCAGGGCTCTGTCCTGGGGCCGATCCTGTGTAATCTTTTCATTAACGACATGGAAGAAGGGGTGAACTGTCTGCTGATCAAATTCGCAGACGGCACTAAAACTGGAGCAGTGGCCACAACTGAGGAGCCGGTACTTGAGATCCAGAAGGATCTGGACAGACTATGGGAGTGGGCCGGAGACAACAGGATGGCATTCAATGTGGTTAAGTGCAAGGTCTTGCACTTGGGGCATAGGAATAGCTGTCATAAGTACAGATTAGGTGACAAGTGGCTGGGGAGCAGCACTTGTGAAAGGGACCTCGGGGTACTGGTTGACTGCAGGCTAAACTTGAGTCAGCAGTGTGATGCGGTGGTCAAGAGGGCGAATGCCACCCTTGGTTGCATAGCCAGAAGTATGGCTTCTAGATCAAGAGAGGTATTACTACCACTCTAGTATGATTCTGGTGCGCCCGCAACTGCAGTATTGTGCTCAGTTTTGGGCCCCTCATTACAGAAAGGATATAGCCAGGTTGGAGTCAGTGCAGTGTAGGGCCACAAGGTTGGTGGCCAGTTTGCAGGGGATGGGGTATGAGGCGAGACTGAGGGAACTGGGTCTCTTCAGCCTGAAGAAAAGGAGACTCAGAGGGGATATGTTGGTGACATACAGGTATGTGAGGGGATGTCACATGGAGATGGGTAGAGACCTGTTCTCCCCTGCAGAGGAAGGCAGGACGTGCTCCAATGGAACAAAGCTCAGGGAGCCAAGGTTCCATTTAGATGCCAGGGAGCACTTCCTAACAGTTAGGATCCTGAGGGTGTGGAATGGGCTTCCATGAGAGGTCGTTGAGGCCCCATCAGTGAGGGTGTTCAAAGATAGGCTGGACATGCACCTGGTGGGCATGTCGTGAGTGGAGCTGGCTGGTGCCGGAGGTCAGACTAGATGGCCTGGGAGACCCCTTCTGACTCACTCTGTTTCTATGTTTCTATGAAGAGGAATGAATGACATCTCTTAAGCAGCAAAAATCCCTGAGAGCTAGCACCTACACATGCCCTCTGCTCCCAGGGGTAATGCCAGTGGTAAGTGGGAAGCATTCTAGCAGGCAGAGGCTGGAATACCATGTTAACCTCTTGCAGTGTTTTAGCAATGCTTTGAATAGAAGGCTTCTCCTTCCTTGCCTGACACATTTACCCTTTCCTCACCTTCCAAATCTTCTCATGGACTAGGAGGAAGCAAATAATGTATGTCATTCATAGTATTTGTACAGCATATTTCAAGAGTTGAAGTACTTCATTTACAACATTATCCAACCAGTTGTCAAATGGAATGACATATGACACAGGGGCTTCAAACTCAAGGCACCATACTTGCTTTTCTTTCCTCTCAGCTGTGTTGAAAGCACTGTGCATTATTACCCACCCTTTCTTCTAGTTATTTCCAAGTTGTGTGAAATGACTGAACTATTCACAGGAGGAGCTATTGGCTACACATGCACCAAATTATAAAGCAGAATTCTGGCTTCTTGTGAATCAGCTGTGTGCTGATGATGCAGCTGTTCCACCCTGCTTTCCTCTGTGCTGCTCACACAGTCACCCATCAAGATGTCCAGACCAAAAAATCCCAAGACATCTTACATAATTCTCATGCTTTCAGCCTGTAAGACCCAGACAAGGCAGGATTTGGCTGAAGCACACAGTCAGAATGTTTCTCTTCCCTCACCTTGCAGAAAGGTGGGAAATCTTTTTAAAGAAAATAATCAGCTAGTGTTTTAGGGGGGCAAGAGCCCAGGAGCAGAACATTGTATGTGAAGGCTCAGGCTCAGGCCTTTGTGTCTGCAGGGATCTCGGGTGGTGGAGCTGACTTGCTTTAGAGCTGTTTCTTGTGGTTCTCTGAAATGATACTGCTTTTCGCCTGTCTGGAGCAGCATTTTCAAACTTGGGTCCACTATAACTCCTCTAATCCATTAACATTATTGGCTGATAGGAGATGATAGGAATTGTAGTCCAACAGATCTGGAAAGCACCAGGCTGAGAAAGGCTGGTCTGGAAGCCATATGTAGCTTAGCTGGTGATTGTTACTGTTGCCTGTTTTGACTTGCTATTGAATTATGCTTTATAGTATTTAAAAGGTGTTTTACTTAGGTCATTCTTAACATGGAAAATGTGTACATCCTTATTTTCTAGAGCGGAAGATAGAAATGAGAATGTGGGGGACTGGGGTTCTTTGGTGAAATCTAGATGGGCACTAAATGCAGAAATTCTTGATCCAAGAATTTGGATTCAAGTTGGAGAGATCCAACTTGCACTTTTAATGATTTGCATTGCAATAAATGAGAAGAAAATTTGGAGAACTCTCCAAATGCTATTAGGAATTAAATATGTACTCTCCGGACAGGAAAATAGAAAAGATCTATTCTTTTTGGAGTTCAATATTTTGGAAGAGTTCTGGAATTAAATATTGAAATAGTGAACAGGAATGCAGGGCTTTGTGTCTTTGTAAATATAAAAAAGAGGTGAAATAAAAGCACCCAGCTCTGTTTCTTTAGAGACCTCTTAATCTGTCAATCAAGCTCTAGCTATATTTGTTACTTGGGAAAATTAATACAGGCAACAGCTTAAGAGTGTTGGGGAAAAAACAGTTTGTGAAGCCATAATGCTTAACTATGGCTTATTTTACTTGAATGAAGTTAAGCGGTATGTCTGAGTATTCAGTCTATCATTGAGCTTTAACTTCAAAGCTGAATGAAAACTTGCTTAGGAGAGATGTGAGGATTCTTGATCAGGAGCACCTCCAGACTTTTGTATCACTCTGTCCCATTCCTCTGAAATTTCTCCACCCTTCCCTTCTCAGCTGTAATTATAGTTGGCACAGAGTGTGCCCTGACTGAGCATTAATCTCAATTACCTTTGTAGCAGAGCTTGAGGTTATGGGTAGTATCTAGCTGTGCTACAGCATTAGGGCTTATGACATTGTAGTAGTGTAAACTTGCTGATTCACAATGTAAGAAATGGCGGGCGGGGGGGGGGTCGACAACAATTTGCTGCCTAAAAGCTACATTTTGGCAGCATATGCTTCTTTTTCCAGTTGTCCCTGCAAATGATGGTTCCATTACACAAGTGTATGTTGGTACTGTCACACAGTTGGATACTACCCCATGGTGACAAGTAGGTTTCAAATGTTACTTTATTACATTACATTATATTTATGTCCTACATTTTTCCTGTGAGGGATCCAAGACAGCTTACATAATTCTCCTGCTTTTCATTTTACTGTCACAACAATCTTGAGAAGTTAGGCTGAGAATCAGTGTGTCACCCAAAGTTACCCAATAACCACATTAACCATTGTTGAAATAACCATGCCTAGTTTAAAACTAATCATGGTTGTTGTTCAGTTCATTGCAGAGGTAACACTATGACCTCTGGGAGGCCAGGGTGGCTGGATAAAGTACCTCTAGGGGAAGCTACATCATCCAATGGATCAACTATAACTATATATTTAATCCAAGTAACAATAGGATTTTGGCTTGGTCTGAATATCCCTATATAAAGATATTAACCTTGCCTTTGTCTATTTAACCTAAAATTCTTTATTTCCATTCTCTGTATGGACATTAGCATAGCCGAGGAGCAGTGCTGTCTCAATCAGTTGGAGGAACTGCACTGTGCCACTGGAATCGCCATTGCCAGCAAGCAAGAAGACTGTGACTTGCACAAAGGTAATTCCACCTGCGAAGACAAGATCATTAAGGTGAGAGTTCAGATGTGCTGATTGGACCATTTGGCATAAACCCTGTCACACTGAATGAACACTTGGATTGTTGCCTCTCGGGCACACTGCTCTGTGTTTCCTTCACTTTGCTTTGTTGGTTTTCAAACTGTGAGCCCACAACTCTGGCCTTCCTGGGAAGGAGAAGGGCAGAAGAGACCTTGCCTATTATTGGTAGTGGTACATTGCTGTTCTTTTGCAGTGCATGGCCTTTGAGAGGTACTCATTGTTCCCTGGAATTTGGCCAATGTGTCCTGTGAAATCAATGTGTGCCCTGAAACATGTTACACAGTCTTGTATATTCTGACGTTGTTCAGCTTCTGTTAGAACTGTGCACTTTAGCCAAGAAGAGCCATCTAGTGGATAGACCTTCACACATTCTTAGTGTGATGTTTGCCACTTGAAATGGCTGATATTTGATCACTGGTAATGTTGCCAACTGTTGAGTTTATTAAGTTTCATACTTTTTAAAATGCTGACTCTAATTGAATCAGCAGATGTCTCGTTGCCACCAACAAAGACAGCGTTAAATCTCCTTTGTCCCAGAATTTGTTCCAGGGCATGGAAGTTGCATGATGCCCTAACCTAGCAGATGCTAAGACAGTTTGGCTCTGGTCAGAGTCTGGGTGGGAAACTATGCATGCTGTCTAGAATGCCATCACAGAAGAAAGGCAGGATATAAATGCAATCAACAAATCTAATATCTGGCATCTTCAGATGTCATGTGACATTAGTGCACTGCAAAACACAGTGGCCAGTGGAGCTGAGTGGGGTTGGGAATATTCTCATTCAGTTATATTTCCACATGCCTTGTGTGCCTCTTGAAGAAAGAGTTACAGAACTGCCTAAGTTTCAATTCCTGAAATGACAAGGAATGCCCTCCAGCTACTTTTTCAAACACAGGGAATTATGGACTGTGTACAAAAATGCTGTGTGTAGCAGAATATAATGGCTCATTTACATGCAAGGTAAAGATGTATGTCATGGCAAGTGTATCTGTAAATGTTGCTACAATTCACAAAAACTGCTATACACACATGCCCACACAGAGAGATAGCATAGTGCCTAGAAGTTACTTGGGTACTGGAAGTCCTTCATTCAGATTTCACCAGCTATTTCTATACTTGCTAGAGTATCCAGGCACTGTAAATAAATCAAAAGAAAGATACACACACTGTCCTCAGGTTTAATTTCTAAAGGGTGAGCTTTAGAAATTAAGACCTGCAGGATCTACTTTGTCTTCAGTAGGAAACTGGGATTCAGAATCAGGTGCAGAATCGTGGCTCAGGAAGGCAGATATGGAATTGAAGGACAAGGTGTCCCTGAACAGATGCTTTGCCCGTTTTTGTTTTCAGCAGTAGAAGAAGCTTGCCAGCACTTTCTTGATTACAGTACTAATTTAGGAAGAAATTATTCTGTTGTTATTAAACAGAAAGGTTTGCTGATCTGCTTCAAGTTACCTTGAGTTTTGCCAGTAGATCACACTTTCTGCCTATCCCCTGATCTAAAAGAGAAGATGCACAAGATGAAATAAAGTCTGACAATTAGGAACAAAGGTGGGCTGTCAACATGCATCCTGCAGAATCTAGGCTAATTTTGGAAGCCATGGAGGAGGGTGACATTAACTAAATAGATCAAGCAAAGCAATCTAAATTGGTGCAGGTTAATGGTCCAGACTGGATGCTACTCTTCCCACCATGCAGTCTCTCGTGTGAAGAAGAGTAAGCTCACAGGTCCCACTTCTAGCATATGCACATTGCATTTAGTGTCTGAGCCCTATTCAGCCATGCTTCCCTAGGTCCCCGTCAGAAGGTTCCTCTGAGGAGAAAGAGTTAGAGGCCCCACTGAAGGAGGATGCTCAGACCTCTACAGGAACAATACCTGTATTTCACCCTAAATCCAGTCTGCTACAGCTGCTGGGTGTAGCAGCAGTACCTCTGAATGCTGCTTCCTGTGAATGCTGCTGGGTGAGTGACCTTGGCTAAGACTTGACTGTTCTTTTGATTAACACCTTTTATCCAGACCAGGGGTCCTCAAACTTTTTAAACAGGGGGCCAGTTCACTGTCCCTCAGACTGTTGAGGGGGCAGACTATAATTTGAAAAAAATATGAACAAATTCCTATACAAACTGCACATTAAAAATTTATTAAAATTTTAAAAATTAATTAAAAAATGTTTGCTTCACTCCCTTGGGCTTCAGCAGAAGCCCAAAATGAGGTGGGGAAGAGCATGTCTGTATTCAAGGGACATAGCTACATCACAACCAAGGCACTAAATATAGTATTTTGCATAATGCAGCTGATGACTGCAACTGGCATTTACAAAGAAGGAAGCAAAAATACCAAGGATAATACTATTAATGCCACTTTTAGTATTTGAAGCAAGTCAGCCCAGAACAATTCCCACAATACACAATGGCTGTATTTGGATTCAGAGCTAATGACTACCATATTTAAGTGCAACCTTGCCAAAACTGGTACTGTCCAGATGAGTTGGACTACAACTTCCATTGGCCGTGCTGGTTGGGCATGATGGAAATTATAGTCCTCGCCACTGCCCCGGTTCTGAGGGAGCGAGAGCAGGAGGCCAGAGAGGCAAGTGCAGGGCTGCGACTGGCCATGGGGTGCCTCCCACCTCTCCCCACCTCAGGGGGAAGCATGGCAGCCACTCGATGACGGCGGCTTGCCCAGTGAAGGCTGTGGCAGAGCTGCAGGAGCTGCGGCCCTGCTCTGCCTCAGCCTGTCCTCCCCTGGGTTTGGCGAAGTGGCCATGGCTTGGCCCACAGCCCAGGGACGTGGCTCACATACTTAAAAATAGATTTAAAAAGTTATATTCTGTTTCTTACTCTGTATTCCTGCTCTGTATATGCATGCAATTGGGGTGGGGGTGGGGGGGAGCTGGCGCACATGCAGTTGAGCTTTTACAATTAGGCGTGTGTGCCGGATCTCTGCTCAGTTTCAAAGAATGCCTGCACCGGCTCAGAGCTTTTGGACTCGCTGAGAGATCGTTTTCTCTGAGCGAGTCCAAAAACTCTGGGGCAGGCCAGACAAATGAGCGTGGCGGGCCATAGTTTGAGGACCCATGATCTAGACTGTTGCTTATGTTGAACGTGACTTGGGCTGTTTGTGGGCTCCAGCTCTACTAGCTCCTCTGTTGTACCTTCAGCTGCTGATTGTCCAGCCTTGAGTCCTGGTGGGAACGTGGATAGTTGGAGCTCATTGAGACAGGGCCACTATACTGGGCAGCCAGGGAATGGGGTGTGCGTGTGTTCACATTCATGGGATTGACTGCATTGGTGGGTAGGGAAGTATTCCATACTGCACAATACTTATTTGAGAATCATGACATGTTTTGAGTATCTGGTTCCGTTCTTGTGGGCCTGACAGATATTCCCTTGGTGCTGTTCCTGCTGGGGTGGTGGAAGTACTTGGCAGCTCCATGCCCTGTGCCTGGAGCCAAATCATCCTGCTGCTTCGTACGGTTGTACAATGCAGCTGGTCTTTGCAGGGAGGGGAAGCACCTTTCCTGCTTCCCCTGAGGCTCAGTTAACCCAGTTTTCCTCCCTCAGGTGTTCTTGGTTCTTGGGCCTGTAACTGGGGTCAGAGTTTCCTTCCGTCTTTCTCCAACATCCACAGAATAATTCCAGATATCTTTAGCCTAGCTGGCCACATTGCCCCCACAAATATGATTCTTTATGTTGTGTAAGCTGCCCTGAGGTACTTAGCTGAAGATTTACTAATAAAGAAATTTCAAAAAATATATATCATACTTCTTTGCAAAGTAAAATGCTGTTTCGTGTCACTGTTGATGTAATATGTGGCCATGTCTTTCTCCCGTATTATTCCATGAATATGAAGAGGAGCTTAACAGAGATCTGCAAAGTACAGGCTAAGTCAAGGAAAGATAATAGTTTGGCTTTCTGTTTTGTCAGGCCCTGTATTGGGCCTGTGCTGTAGAATACAGGCCACAGTTTCTAGGGTCCAAAGTATCGGCCTTGCTTAGCATAAATAAAGTGCTGAACTCTACTTACCTTGCTTTGTTGTATGATTAGCTTAATGAGCTTATGGTATTTCATCCTGCTATTTTGGCACAGAAAGTGGGAATAAGACCCTTACATCAGAAACCTTGACTGGCTAGGATGGGAAACTCCTTACATTTTGGGTTGCCTTGCCCTGGCAACTGTGTAACATGCCTCACCTGCTTTAAGATTATAAGTGTCAACGCTGCCTTATTAAGCAATATTATCAAGCTCCCTGAGGATGCTTTGATGTAGTTTTGCTGTAAACATGTAACCTATATAAGCTGGAAATTCCCTTTGTGTGTTGTTCAGACACTGATGTCTCATAAGCAGCTTTGCTGACCCTCTCTTCCAGCTGATTGATGCTTGCCTTGCTGGCAAGTTCATGCTGAACTTTGCAAGGGACTTGCTGCTAAACCCTTTCCTATGTTAGCTAACTTGTACTTTATGCACAATAATATTCCCTTGTAATCAAACCTGGATCTGGCTTATTGATTCCTTGGGATCTCTTGAATAATAAGTTTTTTATCATGTGAAAACATTAATTTAGTAGAAGGAAGAAGGTGGGAAAGGGCTTCTTTTGTACATGGATGGGATTCCGGTAAAAGATTAATATTCAATTAGAAGGCAATTATAAAAAAAGCAGATAAATTGCATTGAATTTCTCTGGCATGCCCATCCTGAAATATAGGATTTATTATTTAATGGATATCTAAAAGGTCTCCAACCCTATTTATAATTACAGTTGCAGAACTGTAAAATAATATGCTCTGCTGCAAGTGACACTCTGGCAATCCATTGCATGGTTGTTCAGGAGGCTCAAATTGAAGGAATTCTTCCACCATAAAGTGATTTAATGAGAACTTGAAGGACAAGACTAATGTAATGTTGTCAATGATATCTTTCCAAAATGGTTCAGATATAATGGGGAGCCCCACAAAGGCAGGAGAAGGAAGCCAACGTATAACAGGCCTTGAAGAATGGTCTTTTCTCAGCTGCTTTTATTTGACACTTTTTAACCACTGAACTACTTCATGGATCACTGCCTTATCATGGCGAAGGGGCTTGCGTAGCTCAATGAAGCTATGAGCTATGCTGTGCAGGGCCACCCAAGACAGACAGGTCATAGCAGAGAGCTCTGACAAAACGTGATCCACTGGAGAAGCAAATGGCAACACACTCCAGTATTTTTGCCATGAAAACCCCATGGGCAGTACCAAAAGGCAAAAAAATATGACACCAGAAGATGAGCCTCTCAGGTCAGAAGGTGACCAATATGCTACTGGGGAAGAGCGGAGGGCTAGTACTAGTAGCACCAGAAAGAATGAAGCGACTGGGTCAAAGCCGAAAGGACACTCAGTTGAGATGTATCTGAAGGTGAAAGGAAAGTCTGATGCTGCAGAGACCTATACACCATAGGAACCTGGAATGTAAGATCCATGAATCAAGGCAAGCTGGATGTGGTCAAGCAAGAGATGACAGGACTGAACATCGACATCTTAGGAATCAGTGAACTCAAATGGACAGGAATGGGGGAATTTAATTCAGATGACCATCAGGTATACCACTGCGGTTAAGAATCCATCAGAAAAAATGGAGTAGCCTTCATAGTCAATAAAAGAGTAGGAAAAGCAGTACTGGGATACAATCTCCAAAATGACAGAATGATCTCAGTTCAAATCCAAGGCAAACCATTCAACATCACAATAGTCCAAGTCTATGCCCCAACCACTGGTGCTGAAGAGGCTGAAGTTGACCGGTTCTATGAAGGCCTACAACACCTTCTAGAATTAACACCAAAAAATGATGTCCTTCTCATCATGGGGGATTGAAATGCTAAAGTACGAAGCCAAAAGATAACTGGAATAACAGGCAAGTTTGGCCTTGGAGTACAAAATGAAGCAGGGCACAGGTTGGTAGAATTAAGTCAAGCGAATACAATTGTCATAGCAAACACTCTTTTCCAACAACCCAAGAGACAACTCTACACATGGACATCACCAGACGGTCAACACAGAAATCAGATTGACTATGTGCTCTGCAGCCAAAGATGGAGAAGCTCTATACAGTCAGTAAAAACTAGACCAGGAGCTGACTGTGGCTCAGATCATGAGTTTTTTGTTGCAAAATGTAGGCTTAAATTGAAGAAAGTAGGGGAAAGCTCTAGGCCACTCAGGTATGACCTAAATCATATCCTTGATGAATATACAGTAGAGGTGACAAATAGATTTCAGGAATTAGATCTGATAGAGTGCCTGAAGAACTATGGATGGAGGTTCGCAACATTGTACAGGAGGTAGCAACTAAAACCATCCCAAAGAAAAAGAAATGCAAGAAAGCAAAATGGCTGTCTCAGGAATCTTTACAACTAGCTGAGGAAAGAAGGGAAGTGAAAGGCAAGGGAGAAAGAGAAAGATACACCCAATTGAATGCAGAATTCCAGAGAATAGCTAGAAGAGATAAGAATGCCTTCTTTAAATGAACTTTGCAAAGAAATAGAAGAAAACAATAGAATAGGGAGGACCAGAGATCTCTTCAAGAAAATTGGAGATACGAAGGGAACGTTTCATGCAAAGATGGGCATAATAAAAGACCAAAATAGCAGGGAGACAGAAGAGATTAAGAAGAGGTGGCAAGATTACACAGAAGAATTATGCAAGAAAGAGCTTCTGGGTGTTCAAGGATAGGCTGGACGTGCACATGGTGAGTATGTCATGAACGAAGCTGGCTGGTGCTGGAGGTCAGACTAGATGGCCCGGGAGACCCCTTCTGACACGTTCCGTTTCTGTGTTTGTATAACCACGATGGGGTGGTCACTGACCTCGAGCCAGGCATCCTGAAATCTGAAGTCAAATGGGCCTTAGGAAGTCTGAGCAACCACAAAGCTAGTGGAGGTGACATTATTCCAGCTGAGCTATTCAAAATCTTAAAAGACAATGCAGTAAAAGTGCTACACTCAATATGCCAGCAAATTTGGAAAACTCAACAGTGGCCACAGGATTGGAAAAAGTCAGTTTACATTCCGATCCCAAAGAAGGGCAATACCAAAGAATGTTCAAACTACCGCACCATTGCACTCATTTCACATGCTAGCAAAGTTATGCTCAAAATCCTACAAGCTAGGCTCCAGCAGTATGTGGACCAAGAACTACCAGAAGTACAGGCAGGATTTCAAAGAGGGAGAGGAACTAGAGAACAAATCGCCAACATACACTGGATCATGGAGAAAGCTAGGGAGTTCCAGAAAAACATCTACTTCTGCTTAACTATGCTAAAGCTTTTGATTGTGTGGTTCACAACAAATTGTGGCAAGTTCTTAAAGAGATGGGAGTACCAGACCATCTTATTTGCCTCTTGAGAAACCTATATGTGGGTCAAGAAGCAACAGTGAGAACTGGACACGGAACCACTGATTGGTTCAAAATTGAGAAAGGAGTTCAGCAAGACTGTGTACTGTCGCCCTACCTATTTAACTTATATGCAGAGCACATCATGAGAAAAGTGGGGCTAGATGAATCACCAGTTGGAATTATGATTGCTGGGAGAAATATCAACAACCTCAGATATGTAGATGATACCACTCTCATGGCAGAAAGTGAAGAGGAACTAAAGAGCCTCTTGATGCTGGTGAACAAAAGTGCGTATAGTCAAGGCTATGGTTTTCCCAGTTGCAATGTAAGGCTGTGAAAGCTGGACCATAAG